GCGCATAATAAGCGAGCCCAACGCAGCTAATTAACAGCTCCTTCGCAAAATAATCCTCCATCGGCCCTTTTGTCAAGCCTCAACCGAGTAAATACTCACTGGTTCTACTTTCAGTCCACTCATCTCTATAAGGGATGTGAGCGCAGTTTTAAATTACTCATAGAATACTAGATTATACACGTGTTGTATCAGCACCTTTGCATGGGATCCACATACAACTTCTTTTTTTTTTTGTATTGAAAAGCTATGTATTCAATAGTTAAGTATTAAAGTGTCAAAAATTGGGTTTTTGCAAAAATGGTAATTTTGTTACAGATTCAGGTAAAACGCCTATCCAGCAAAAATTATTGCTCGGAAAGATTTTTGTTTAAGGTAATAAACCTTTAGAAATAGGTGTGGTAGTTTTAGGACTCAAGCCAACAAAACGCTTCGATAGAATATGCCTTCATTAAGGCCTGTCTGTAACTCCCAAAAAAATCGAAAAATTCATATAAAATGACGCACTACAAATTGAAATTAAACGGCGCCATTAAGACAAACAAAAAGCGAAACAAAGTAATGTAATAAAAACTGCAGATAAAATCGAAGAATAAAAAAGAAACGAATTTATAAATGTATTTTAGCCAACACGCCTAAGCCGTTTGCCAAAAACTGGCAAACATGAAATCTTCTTGCACCGAAAAATTTACTTCGATTTTCCTTTGCTTTCTTATTTGCATTTTCAAGAAGAAATTTGGCGAAATTTGTGGAAAGCTGCACATTGAATTTGCCGTAATGCCCAATGTTGCATAAGCCAAGTTAAAAGACTCAATGAGACAAACGTAAAAACATATGTACGTATGTACATTAGACTGCTTCACCAAAAAAAAGTTGCGGTTTTACACAATCTAGTATATTTTAAGACGTCTACCAACATATTTCGGAAAAATATTAAGATTTAAGTGAGCTAAACCGATTTGAAAATACCTCCAAAAATGGCGTTTTTTTTAATGAATAAAAATACATAGCTTCTTAAAGAACTTTTTGAAAAAAGTCCCCTCAGATGA